AAAAAAAAAAAAAAAAAAAAAAACTTTCTACAAAGCTAATATAATAATTTTAAAACTGTGTGATTTTAGCTTATAAATAAGTGTACAGATCAGAAGACCAGAAAGTCAAAAAAATCTGGTATATATTCAAATTTAATACGTGATAAAGATGGCATTTTAGTTCAGTGGGAGAGAAAAGGGTTTATTTAATTATGCTACTAACGTAATTGGTTACTGATCTGGAAAATAATACTTCCAGCCATGAATAAAAGCATTATGAATGAATTAACCCTAAATGAAAAATTAAACAAAAGATAATAGAATAAAAAATATCTTAAAAAATCTGAAACCCAAAACACTTCTGGTCCCAAGCTTTTTCAGTAAAGGATACTCAACCTGTATAAGGTCATGGTTCAGAATTCAAGAGAAAAAAAAAAAGATTAACAGTGAAAAATCTCCCTCATTTTCCTATTAGAAATCCAATTCCCTTCCCTGTGTTAATGTTTTGATTTAATCCTTCCAGAGATACTGGAAAAGTAAGAAATAAATATGTATGTGTACATAGACCTATTGTCGTCCTTTTTTCTCCCAGATAAGGTAGCAAAACAGGCCTATTCTTTAATAACTTGCTTTTTTTAACTAGAGATTATTCCATATCTATTCATAAAGAATTATTATTTTTAATAGATGTTTCCTCATGTAATTAAACATTTTCTGAAACCATTTTTTTAAGGTTGCATAGAGTTCTATCATATTGATATATTGATACACTTTATTTACATATACCTATATTGATGGACATTTGCTTCTGATTTTTCACTCTTATAAATAACATTGATTATAAATAACTAAATATTCTTTGTTGTTGTTTTGTTGTTGTTGTTGTTGTTGTTGTTGAGATGGAGTTTCCCTCTTGTAGGCCAGGCTGGAGTGCAATGGCATGATCTCAGCTCACTGCCACCTCCCCTCCTGGGTTCAAGCGATTCTCCTGTCTCAGCCTCCTGAGAAGCTGGGATTACAGGCACGTGGCACCATGTCTGGCTAATTTTTGTATTTTTAGGAGAGATGGGGTTTCTCCATGTTGGCTAGGCTGGTCTCAAACTCCTGACCTCAAGTGATCCGCCCACCTCGGCCTCCCAAAGTGCTAGGATTACAGGTGTGGGCCACCGTGCCCGGCTGAATATTCTTATTCAATGGCCTTGTGCATCTGTAAATATATCTTTAAAATCAGTAACCAGAAGTGAAACTACTATGTCAAAAGACATAAACTTATTACCAAATTGTCCTCCAGAAATGTACCAGTTTCTACCATCAAATTTTCTACATCATGAAAATGTAGTTTCTACATCAAATTTTCTGCATGTTTTCTATATCATGAAATTGTATTTTCTTTTTAATTTGCATTTTATACCTATATAGGTGATTCTAATTTTTTTTTTAAATCTTTTACTTCATGTCTGTTCTTGTTATTTGCCACTTTTTTGGTTAGGATAGTCATCCTTTTATTGATTTGTAAGCACTCTTTATATATCAAGATTATTAAGGTTTTGTCTGTCAATAAATATCAAATGAAGCCTGAGTTCTAGTCATGCCTGTGCCCAAGACTTGTATGATTTTGCCCCATGATGCAGCCCTCAGTGTTCCAAGCTGTGAATATTGTGACCTCTGAGGCCACTTTCTTACTGTGAAATATCTACATCCTTTAACCTTTCAGGCGCCAGGAACTCAGAGAGCTTCGGCTGCTCCAGAAAGAAGAGCATCGGAACCAGACCCAGCTGAGTAACAAGCATGAGCTGCAACTGGAGCAAATGCACAAACGTTTTGAACAGGAAATCAACGTGAGTGCGAGAAAAGATGGGTCCCTGGAGGGCTTCTTGCCTCCATGTGTTCTCTCAGTGGAAGTTACAAAGCAGGAATGATTGGGTCCTGGAGAGTAATTCACATCAATTGCCCAATTCCTGGGGTTTCCCCATCTTGTTAGGCAATGACTTGTTAACACAGAATCCCATGAAGGTCCCAGTGATCCTGAGTCCCACAGGAGGATCTCCAGAGGGAAAATAACCTTTACTGAGCACCATGCAACAACACATGGTCTGGTCTCCCCTTTGCCGATGAGGAAACGGAGACTCAGGTTAAGTAGCTTGCCCCAGGTCACACAGCAAGGAGGTGGTGGAGCTGCGATTCAAACCTAGGTCTGAGCACAAGCTCTGAGTTCTCCCTGTTCCACTCCCCATTATCTCTCCCAGGTATAAAGGGACTTTGCTGAATTTCTGCTCTTTTTAGGCCAAGAAGAAGTTCTTTGACACAGAATTAGAGAACCTGGAGCGTCAGCAAAAGCAGCAAGTGGAGAAGATGGAGCAAGACCATGCCGTGCGCCGCCGGGAGGAGGCCAAGCGGATCCGCCTGGAGCAGGATCGGGACTACGCCAAGTTCCAAGAGCAGCTCAAACTGATGAAGAAAGAGGTGAGTTTGTGCTGGGTTGGGGCAGGGGCATCTTGGAGAATCAGGGGTTTCTTGGTTGCAAGAGATCAAGGCTCCAGCTCAATCTCACCTTGGTGACAGAGGGTTATGACTGAAGAGCTCGGGAGCTGGCGAGCCTGGATCTGTGTGCCCCAGCTGCTCCATGAGGAGACACTTCTCCATCTTCTGAACTCTGTTTTCCTCTGTGCTGCTGTGGCTCAGGCAGGCCCTCACCATGTGGCCTCAGGCAGCTTCTTTTACATTCTCCCAGCCTAGCAACCCCAGCGGAGAAACAGCAGGGAAGGAAGAAGGAAGGGCTGGTGGCCCTGGGGAATTTGAGATGCTGTTCCCAGAAGGGCGAGTGGGTACTGGGTGGGTAGGTACAGACACCATGTCCGATACGCTCCCCGCTCTCTGCCTCCTCCTTCTCCCCCTGTTGGAAGAGGAGGGGGTGGGTAGAAGGAGGTGGGTGGTCCTGAGGCACATCTCTCGGGCTGCTCTGGAGAGAGGCTCCTGGGTGTCAAAGAACAGCCCATGCCTCCCTCTGTGGAGCGATACCGGGAAGCCAGGACACTCTGACCTAGATACCCTCAAGGAAGGAAGGAGACAAGTAGGCTGGACGTCCCCAGGACAGGAACACCAGTCCAGGCTGTTCCCAGTCTCCAACTGGGAGCAGTGGATAAGCAGCCTCTCTAGGGGTCTCGGAGCCGAGATTCCAGACTTCACCATGGTGGGCATGACATTCAGGGCATCCCAGGGGCTTGGACAGCTGCCTGTGGGAGCCAGGGCTCCTGGCCAGCTGAGCAGGTGAGGCAGTCACCTTAGGCACAAATGTACCTCAAAGATACCATGGGTTTGGTTCCATATCACCACAATAAAGCAAATACTGCAATAAAGCCAGTCCCTAATAATCAGTAAACTATGCTATACACAGATGTGCTGTCACCCAGGCTTTGTGGCTCCTTTTTAGAGCACAGGCAGAGTAGATTTAGCATGATTCTTTTTTTTATTTTTATTTTTGAGACAGGGTCTTGCTCTGTTGCGCAGGCTGGAATGCAGTGTTGTGATCTCCGCTCACTGCAATCTCTGCCTCCCAGGTTCAAGCGATTCTTATGCCTCAGCCTCCTGAGTAGCTGGGACTACAGGCACATGCCACCATGCCCAGCTAATTTTTGTATTTTTAGTAGAGACACGGTTTCACCATATTGGCCAGGATGGTCTCAAACTCCTGACCTCGTGATCCACCCTCCTCAGCCTCCAAAAGTGCTGGGATTACAGGCATGCGCTACCCCACCCAGTTTAGGATGATTCTTAAGGGCCCTGGGATTTTCAAAATAGTAAATGAGGCCGGGCACGGTGGCTCACGCCAATAATCCCAGCACTTTGGGAGGCGGAGGTGGGCGGATCACGAGGTCAAGAGATCGAGACCTTCCTGGCCAACATGGTGAAACCTCGTCTCTACTAAAAATACAAAAATTAGCCGGGCGTGGTGGCACGCACCTCTGGTCCCAGCTATTCGGGAGGCTGAGGCGGAAGAATTGCTTGAACCCAGGAGGCGGAGGTTGCAGTGAGCCGAGATTGCGCCACTACACTCCAGCCTGGAGACAGAGTAAGACTCTGTCTTAAAAAAAAAAAAAAATCAAAATAGTGAATGAGCATTGGCTTCAACTTCAAGTCACCATCAGCATTAACACCTAACAAGAGAGTCAGCCTGTCCTTTGAAGCTTTGACGCCAGGCATTGACTTCTCTGTAGCTATGAGAGTCCTAAGTAGCACCTTCTACAACAGAAAGCTGTTTCATCTACATTGAAAGTCTGTTGTTTAGTGCAGCCACTTTCTTCGATGATCTTAGCTAGATCTTCGTGATAACTCACTGCAGCTTCTCCATCCGCGCTTGTGGCTTCACCTTGCACTTTCATGTTATGGAGATGGCCTCTTTCTGTAAACCTCATGAACCAACCTCTGCCAGCTTCCAGCCTTCCTTCTGCAGCCTCCTCCCCTCACTCAGCCTTCACAGAAGAAAAGAGAGTTAGGGTTGTGTCCTGGATTAGGCTTTGGGGTAAGGGAATGTTGTAGCTGGTTTGATCTTCCACCCAGACCACTCAGACTTTCTCTACCTCAGCTTAGGTTGCTTTGCTTTCTCATCATTCGTGTTCCTTGGAATGGCACTTTCCTTTTAAGAACTTTTCCTTTGTATTCACAACTTGGCTAACCGTCTGGTGTGGGTGGCCTAGCTTTTGACCTAGTAAATTTTCTCCATGCCATCCTCACTAAGCTTCGTCATTTCTACCTTTTTTTTTTTTTTTTTTGAGACGGAGTTTCACTCATGTTACCCAGGCTGGAGTGCAATGGCGCGATCTCGGCTCACCGCAACCTCCGCCTCCTGGGTTCAGGCAATTCTCCTGCCTCAGCCTCCTGAGTAGCTGGGATTACAGGCACGCGCCACCATGCCCAGCTAATTTTTGTATTTTTAGTAGAGATGGGGTTTCACCATATTGACCAGGATGGTCTCGATCTCTTGACCTCGTGATCCACCCGCCTCGGCCTCCCAAAGTGCTGGGATTACAGGCTTGAGCCACTGCACCCGGCCCATTTCTACCTTTTGATTTAAAATGAGAGACATGCATCTCCTACTTTCATATGGACAGTTAGAGGCCATTGTTGGGATATTAATTGACCTAATTTTAATATCGTTTTGTCTCAGAGAATAAGGAGGCCCAAGGAGAGGGGAAGAGATGGGAAAGGCCATCTGTGGAGCAGTCAGAACACCTCCCAACATTTATCGATTAAGTTCACTGTCCTATATGGGCTCGTAGCGCCCTAAAACAATTACAGTAGTAACATCAGAGGTCACTGATCGCAGATCGCCATAATAGAGATAATAATAATGAAAACATGCGCAACATCGCGAGAATTACCAAAATGTGGACAGGGTGTGAGTACATGCTTTTGGAAAAATGTCGCTGATAGACTTGCTCGACACCGAATTGCCAAAAACCTTCAATTTGTAAGAATTACAGTATCTGCAAAGTGGAATAAAGTGAAGCATGATAAAATGAGGTCTGCCCCCACAACATTTCACAGGGCCTAAAAACTGAGTCATCACGATACAGAATATTTCAATGCGATGTTTTATAGTAAAAATGCCAAAAATTCGTAATGAACAGATATCAGCTATTAGAATAAAGACAGGATCTGTCAAGGCCAAGATTAGGGTGAGGCAATGAGGCTGGGTGCCCCAGGCACAGGCCTGGATCCTGTCTGTATTTAAAATTTTGATATTTTGTCCATGATTTTTTTTGCATGAATTGAGGTGTTTTTTGTTTTGTTTTGTTTTGTTTTGTTTTTAATGTTATTTATCTTGATTACTGAATTTTTGTCAGTCCTTTAAATTTTGTCCTGGGGTGAGTGCCTCATTGGCCTCCCCATGGTCCTGGCCAGCTGCAGAGATATGGGCACGTGGGCTGGGGGTGCATGGGGGCAGAGAGGAGAAGCTGACCCTAAGCACATCCAGCTCCTGTGCAGAGAACACAGACTTGGGAGTCAGGTTTTCGAGCCTTGGCTCTTTGGCTTGCTGGCTGTTTGGCTTTGGACAAGTCATTTCCCTGAGTCCCAGTTGCTTTCTGTCAAAATGAGTTATTCAGCAACTGTTTTGCTGAGGGTCTGCATGTGTGGCACTGTGCTGGCTGCCAGGAATGCTGCAGTAACAAAATAGATAGGGTCCCCGCCCTCAAAGATCTGTTAATTTCCAGAGAAGCCAGACAAACAAACAAAAAGTCCAATATTGAATAAATAAAACAGTTGCCGACATGCTAGGGAAGCATATATACTGGCTGACTAGCGATCTGGAGAGATCTGCTTTAGATGGGTCTGGGAAGGCCTCTCAGCATATGATGTGTGAGCTGAGATCAGAAAGATGCTGGCAGGCATAAGAACCGTCCAGGAGGGTGGGACAGCACGTGCAAAGGCCCTGAGGTATGGGAAAGAACTTGGAGTGTTCAAAGAGCTGGAAAACCATCTGTGTAGCAGGAGCTCAGGAAGCAAAGGGGAGAATAGCACAAGATGGAATCAGACAGGTAGACAGAGGCCAGCTCACGTACAGCAATGGGCCACAGGCAGGAGTGTGCTAATTAATAATACTGTTAACATCTAGTTCTTACATAGATGTTTTAGCATTCATTAAATGAGAAGTACATTCAGAGTTAGACCCAGTATCTCCTCAGAATAAGAGCTGGGGAGGTGCCCATTCCCTCCTTGGCTGTGCGCCCTGTCACATGTGCACACCTCGTGTGTGTGTGTGAGTGTGTGTGTGTGTGTGTGTAAGGACTTAAAAGTGGAAAAGGGAGGACATGACAGAAGAGGTTGCCTAGTTTAGGAGGGGGTGGGGGAAGCCACAGAGCTCTTCTCCCTTTCCCAGAACTTGCCCTTAACGGAGTTGGACTTCCTCACCAGCAGGGTTCCAGGAGGACCCTCAAGCCTGCCACTGAACGCTGAGGCAGAACGTGAGATCTGGCACCTAAGTTCTGCTCACATTCAGTTTTTAAAAATTTCTTTTTCTATGATGCTAATGATGCGGCTGGAGTGCAGTGGTGCAATCACAGGTCACTGCAGCCTTGAACTCCTGGGCTCAAGTGATCCTCCTGCCTCAGCCTCCTGAATATTTGGGACCCTTCTAATTTTTTAAAACAAGTTTTGTAGGAATGGGGGTCTCACTTATTTGCCCAGGCTGGTCTTGAATTCCGGGCCTCAAGTGATCCTCCTGCCTCGGCCGCTCAAAGTGTTGGGATTACAGGCGTGAGCCATGGCGCCCAGCCTCTTTTGGCTTGTTGAAGAGGGTAAGGCTCACACCATTTAGTAAGATGGTGTCCTATTTACTCATCTTTTGTGGAGGCAAACTGCTTGCTTTGATTCTGCAACTTGCTTATATAACAGAGAGCGATGGCAGGAGGCCAGTGAGAGGCTTTGCCCCATGGCACCCCCAGATATCCCAGATGGCACTGTCC